TCCATTGGGTCACAAAAATGCGCTCAGGGTCATAAGAGCTAAGATCTAAAGTTTTAAAATAAGATAAAATTCGTATTTGTCTGCTGTGGGGTATTTTTCCATAGTAAAGTTCCCAATGTCCTTTACGTCTAAAATCAGAACCAAAAGATAAAAGAAACACACACCAAAACAAGCAAATAAATAAACAAAGTAATCGTCGGAATCGTCAATCACTTGACGTTCGAAAACGTCAGCGGTTAGGGGAATTGTTTTAGAACTTAAAATACGGCGCGAATCCAACCAAACTGCCGAGAGTTGCGTGGAATAGATAAAACCTTCCATATAAGATATTCAAATCCCTTAAGTGCAGGTTGCGGTTGAATTGCGAGAAAAAGTCCCATTTTGAAACGTTGTAAAACTCTTTATTATTCCAGCTTCAGGTGTCTCGGGAGATACAAGGCGGCTTGACGGCTGCCAGCGCGGCGAAGACGGGCGTCGTAATAATAGTGGTTTTTCCCCCCTCACAGCGAACGTTCGAATTTAAAAAAGGATGATCTGTCGGCGCATCATCTCGAATTCACTTTATTGCTTAATATTTTATACCGTTCTCGCGTTAACCCTGCTCAGAGTTCTTTCTTATATCTACTTTCTTAATACTTTTATCTTAAACGGTATATTCATACTAATATTATAAACTAGTGGCCCGCCCTCGCTTCGCTTCGACTACAGTTAGTAGAGTATAGTTTTTGACGTGACAACGTCTTAAATTAGGTTGCGGCTGGGAGTCACTTATGAAAAAGTGTAACGCTCGGTAACGTTACGATGAGTCTCTCGTGTTAAGTTTAAGTTTACATGTACAATGTTTTAGTAAACAAAATATATTTCTATAGTTAAAATTTGTGCAATTCTTATTTTCATTCAATTCCTTGTTCCTATTGTGCAATTTAATTATATTCATATCAATAAATATTCTACCGAGAAAAAGACGTTGTCACGTAAAATCTTCGCCCGTAAAACCGACTTTACAGGCAACCATTTTTTTGTTATCAGGTTTATATTATACACAATGAATTTCTGTATATAATTATATTTCTTTCATGAAAATGTATTTAAATGATAGTGATTTGTTGCGTAGTTTAAGAGCCGTTGTAATGAATGCACCATTTTTTTTGATTGAACGCGCAAATCTCAGGAACTAATTTTCCGATTTTTTTTCGCTTTAGCATTTTATAATGCCAGCTAACACTTAACACCAGATACGAAAAAATGATGCACGTTTCTGAAAAAAGATAAAAGTTTTAGTTTTTTTCCTATTCAGACTACTGCTATGAAAGCTTGGGTCTCAGAAGCATAGAAATTGTGGATGATGATGATCTTAATAGCAGTTATGCTGCCGAGATCTTTCTTAGGTTGCAAGGCAGCGCCATCTCTTCGCATTGTAGGTAACCCACAATATCAAACGTAACATTTTTATAATTTAAAAGAGGAGTAAGCAATTTGAGGATAATATTTATAAATTTAAGTACATAATTGCTCAATTTATAGATCTAAAGAAAATTTCCAGGAAAAAGGCGGGCTTCGAACCACTTTCCGCAAACCGGGCGGTTTTTTTTTTAAGTGTGTATGCTGTTGGTCGCAGATGACTTTTACAGTGTCACCGGGGTTGAGGATGGTTAGATTCTAAGGGGACCTCAAGCCGAGAAATGGCGAGAGCCTCTAGAGGTATTGCAGGCGGATGGCATCTCCCCACGGAGGGAGTCTCCTCTCCGTCTGGATCCACTAGACCACTCGTACCTGAGGGAGTCGGCTCAACCAGAGGGCGTCTCTGAGATTCGAACCTCGACTCTAGTTTGCCGTTGTCGTGGGGGGAATCCGGGCGTAATGTACGATTTCGAACACCGTCCATCCGTTAATAACAGTTTATACAAGTGCATTGATTTTAAAGTAATCATAATTCTGATCCATCACAATGTTTCAACAAGTCTAAAATTAATTTACTTAGTCAAGATTTACACCCAGCAAACTAATTTGTAAACAAAACAATTGCGGAGCTCGACGAGATTAACAACGATTTTAACAAGAGTTTTCATTTTAATAAATGTAAAATTCTAGGAATATCATAACAACAACAATAAGGCTTATTAATAGAGAAGAAAAGGCCATAGCTAATGAACTCGTCTGTTTGCAAATATTTTAATTATTATTTAACTGAATCCTTCAAAACGCGGAAAATGCATGTTTCGTTATATTTTATACCAGAAGGGTTGTGCACCATTGTAAAAACCATCTTATTATGAAGAACCTTAAACAATGAACATGTGTTATCGGCAAACAGTACACTCTCACAAAGTTTTTGCATAAAAAAAGCAAATAGTTCATGTACAATAGTAGGAATAAGAAAGGACCCAAAAAAGAAATCTGAGTAACGCAAATTTTTACATGAGAATTTACCGCAAGTTAATGACGCCAAAGTCTACAGTTATGCAATATTTCTTTTATCCCGATATAATACTAATACTACATGCTTAACCGGGTTTCCAATATATAATATCACCATCCTCTAAAATAGGTACTTAATCAGACTATGTCGGAAGACAACTTCTCCCCATTCAGTGATAGTAAATTAATGTTCTAACTAACATTGGTTAGAGAAAAACTAACATAAAAATGAATCCCACTACAAAATTAAATGAAAACACTTGTACGTTTTTCCCTATTACTCGCTGCACTCATGCTTGTGAAAAACCGATTTGCAGTTTGACACGGGACAATGTATCTGTGTACTCGCTATTTAGTCAACTTCGCTCGCAGAGCACCCATTCATCATCAAGAGACCGTGTATCAGGGTGTAGCGAACCATTAACGGCCGACCACAACGGCACTCGGCATGATTTTTCCAGTACCCCGCCACACAGGTGAAATCTGAACCCTTAACACGATCGTGGCAAAGTCGAGTTCGGCCCGACGTCTCATTGCTTCCACCGAACAAGTTAACTTTCCGCATCATTTGGTGGAACACTAATGGATTACGGTATTGTTATATCAAATGTTTTTTGCGAAGCATAACAGCGTAGATATGCCCCAATTGTCAAAGGAATAATTCGTATGGCATTTGGGACAAAAGAGCCTAACAGGGCTCGTAGACTTCTCGGCGGCGATTCCGACATTTATACATTAATATGCAACCTATTTAGAAGTTCTATATACAATGAAAGTTCTATCTTACTGCTACATAGTGTTTATTCTAAACAGTAAGGGCAGATAATGTTAATTTTCGTAGCTTATGTTTAGGCGTATAAGTTCAGAAGACATTTTAATAAATATTAGGTATAGGAGCTCGATGGCGCAGGTTGTTAGCGCGTTCGGCTACGATCGTTGAAGTTAAGCAACTTTCGCAGTGGTCGGTCATTGGATGGGTGACCAAAAATTTACTATCTCGAGCTCCTCCGTGCTTTGGAAGGCACGTTAAGCCGTTGGTCCCGGCTGCATCTGCAGTCGTTAGCACCCACCAATCCGCACTGGGCCCGCGTGGTGGCCCGATCTCAATATTCCATCCATAGGGAAGACCTGGGCCCCAGCAGTGGAGACATTAATAGGCTGATGATGATGATGATGATGAGGTATATGCCATGAAATGACTTATACACAATATGTATACATTAAAAATAAAAACAATAGTTTAGTAATATTCACAATTATACTAAAGAATGTTTCAGTACTCTGCAGTTGAAATTTTGTTCTACTGGTCTAGTAGCCAGCTAAATATTTACAATTGTTACTCGCAAAACTGTATGAAAAAAACTGAAATACATTTCAGTTCTTTTCATATAATCAATCCCCCTATATACAATACATTTGTTTTACTCGTAATCTTATTAGGAATCTAAATGAATTAAAAATAACAGCATGATGACCGAAAACCCAAGCTCCCATCGGTCACATGCCATAGAGTCCCCAGAGCAAACAAACAAAAATTCTATTTCAAAGAAAAACTGCCATGAAAGGTTAAATATTGTTAAAGTTTGAATAAGAAACTGAAGTTTTGCCCTGAATAGATGCCCTACAATTTGTTATACGCACAGGGTGGACGGAATAGTTATATGAAGGGTGGGGATCTGGTAATATTTTAGTGTTATCGTCCATCTACTTCCAAAAGTAATTTATAACTAAGCAATTTCAAGATCTATAGTAAATATTATTATTAAATCAATGATTAATAATAAATAAAAAGAGATAATTTCCATTCCCTAAAATGAAAATCTGCAACTTGCTTATTCATGAACACCATCATCTTCTATAACAAATAAAAAGTCTCAGAACTTGCTTAGAGATAAAATAACAATTGTTATAATGAATCTGTTCTATTCACAAACCGAATAATATCAAGGAAACATCCTGTAAGTAAATATATTACCTTGTTATATATCGCCAAGGCAACAACCTTTATCTTTGGCTATTTAGGAGGCAAAAACAAAGCTATTATGAGAAACTGGGATATCTCATTTCTCCTTCCAACGTAACTACGGAACACTCTTAGCATTAATGATATTATAAAACTTTTAGATCCCATCATCACTATCACTCGTGTTTTCATCACAGATATAGTTTTACGACTTTCGGAGTTCTTCAGTGTTGATTGGACGGCACCTTTATTATTTTTATTACATTCTGGTCAAAGTAAGATTTCGCAAACTTAGGCAAAATGTACGCTTCATACATTCTCATTAGTAATATACTTATTCTCGTTCGTAAATAACCGCTAACTGTATAAGTTCTTGTGCTACTTGTTCTTTTAGTTTTCACATCCAAACTCCAATCGAAATTTGCAAATCCAATAATCGTGAAACTGGAAGAGAAGCCAAATTTTTGCAACACAAATTATAAATAGTTATTTAACTATAACTGATGTAGATGTTTTTTTTTAACGGATAGGCACTACTTTTACAAGCCGATTTTTTTGTAATACCTAATCAAATGCCGTGCTTGTTTCGCTTAATTTTAATTTAAAATAAATCTTACAGTTGTTCGGCTTGTCCATCTTCGCACTATGCTTATGGATATGCATCGAACCTGGATTCAACGAATGGATGACGGTTCTGGAGCTTCAAAAGTACTTCATCGGCATCTACATCATCCTCATAGCTGCTCTGGTCATCATGGTGGTAGCATTCCTTGGATGCGGAGCAGCTCTAATGGAGAATGTTTTCCTTCTTTTTGCGGTAAGATTGATGTAATATAAGATAATCATGGTACTGAGATAACACTTACAACTTACATGCTACTGTGCAGTATATGAATATAATAAAATAAAACGGGAAGACATAACAGTTTTGAAATTCATTAATAATATAAACGTCATAGTTTTAAAAAAGTAATACACACATTAATAATATACCTACCTACCTAATTAACTAAATTTTTATACTAGAATATGTTTTTATAATTTATTTATTTTTTGCATATTTTTTGTGTAGTACATTGAAACCCAAATCGGCATATTCATATTCGGCTTGGTGGGAGCTTGAGTACTGTTATAGATTTAAAAAAGTTAAACGCAAATAAATATTTTATACTAACTATAAGTAACTAAGTTATTATACTAGTATTTATTTTTCTAATATATGTAGTTTTGCCTATTTTTTGTATATTACATTGGAACCCAAATCGGGATATTCGTATTCGGCTTGGGGGGAGCTTGCGTACTGTTATAGTTTTAAAAAAGTAATACGCAAATAAATATTTTACAATTTTATACTAACTCTAAGTAACTAAGTTTTTATACTAGATTTTTTTTTCCAATTTATCTATTTTTTTTGCCTATTTTTTGTGTAGTACATTGGAACCCAAATCGGGATATTCGTATTCGGCTTGGGGGAGCTTGCGTACTGTTATAGTTTTAAAAAAGTAATACGCAAATAAATATTTTACAATTTTATACTAACTCTAAGTAACTGTTCTAAGTTTTTATACTAGAATATTTTTTTTTCCAATCTATGTATTTTTTTGCCTATTTTTTGTGTAGTACATTGGAACCCAAATCGGGATATTCGTATTCGGCTTGGTGGGAGCTTGCGTACTGTTATAGTTTTAAAATAGTAATACGCAAATAAATATGTTACAATTTTATACTAACTCTAAGTAACTAAGTTTTTATACTAGAATATTTTTTTTCCAATTTATGTATTTTTTGCCTATTTTTTGTGTAGTACATTGGAACCCAAATCGGGATATTCGTATTCGGCTTGGTGGGAGCTTGCGTACTACTAGACTTCTCGACATATAACTCCAGCGTCCAGCCTCTGATCAGGAATTCTATCGTCAACCTGATGAATAACCCTCAACACGAAGGCAGTCGGCTCATCCTGAGAATGGTACAAGAAGGTGTAAGTAATAACTTTTCAAATTCAACAGTAGTGCTAATCTGTAAGAACAAATTCACTTTTCACCTCGGAATCCGCGTTGTAATTTAAAATCACAATACTGATTAAAAAAAAACAAGTCACTTTGGCGAGATCCGTGGTGAAAAGTGATTTTTTCTTATAGAATAGCACTGCAGGTGCTCCTTTGTTACGTCTTTGTTATATCAATTATAATCTAATATATAATAATTAATGTCAAAACTAATTTCGGGCTTAAATCAAAATGTTTGATAACAATTTCTAAGTATTTGGAAATTTATTAATTACTCTATATTCATAAAGTTTTCACACGAAACCCCAATACGTAATCAAATTAGAACGCACAAAGGCAAACTGTTCGTTCGTCAAACCCACACAAAAAATGACAGATACTTCTAACGAAGCAAACAGCCAAATGCATTTCACTGTGGATAGTCAAACGAGCGCACGGAACCATGCTTTTCAGAGCTCTGTGAGCATTCTGTGCGACTAGCATTCCTTAGTAACTTTGTCATGTTTGTTACGGTCAAAAGTTACGGCGGTTACAGAACAACCAGGTCTAAATTTACCAAATAAAAAAAAGCTTTTTGGGGGAAATGAAATCGTGTTTGGAAAAAAAATATGGCTATGGTTTAACCTTCTGTTACACCATTTTAAAGTAGTTTGCTCTCTAATGTAAAAATAACAGTTATAATATGTAAATAATAATAAAATAAACAAACTCATATTGATTAGATATAGGTAATTCTTGTATATTCAATGAATCGAAATATAAATATATTATAGAAAAATATAATATGTGCGCCATAAAAATATTATAAATATAATATTGTTGACCTCTACGTCTAAAAAAAACGATATATAGTGCATCTACTTTATAAAGTTAGTTAAATCTCTTCGGTGGTGTCGTGTGAGGCGGGTCGTTGCGTTCTTTAAAAAATGGTTGAGCGAAGCGATGGCTGGTTCAATCGTCATGCTCGTGAACGCGTGCTGCCAGCGGAGATGAGTCTGCTCGTGCTTCATTGGGTACTATTAATCGTTGTACTAAACTTTAATCGTTCATTATTTTATTTTTTTGGATTACACGGCATTCCTAAACTTCGTTAAACCAGTTTTTTATATTTTATAGTCATAATTTTTATATTATTTGCATTTGTAATGGAAAGTGACTTTATAAGTTACCTCATATTGAAGTCATTTTTCAATTTGACGACTCTGTATATAACACAGGGAGAAAAAAACAGCCCTTGCTGAGTTTCTTGGCGGTTCTTCTCAGTACAAGGTCTCCCGCCGTAGATTTGTGAACCGATGGAGTAGCTTTTCGACATTCACAAGTGCTTGTAACAGCCTAGACTGAATAAATGATATTGAATTTTGAATTCTGTATTTATATTCTTCCCTAATCTCCTTTTTCAGATCGGCTGTTGTGGCGCCGATGGGCCCATGGATTACCTTAATTACAACAAGCCCTTCCCCGCTGAATGCAGAGATTCGGTGACGGGTAACGCCTACTTCCATGGATGCGTGGATGAGCTGACATGGTACCTAGAAGGCAAAAGCGGGTGGCTCGCCGGCATCGTACTTGCGTCCTGCATGATTGCTGTGAGTATTATGTCTGAGTTTTAAAAGGAGCTCGATGGTGCAGGTGGTTAGCACATTGGGCCAGCGATGCTATTAATGTACTTACTATTGGGGCACCGGTCTTCCCTATGAATAGGGGTGATGACGGGGTACAGTAAATGAAATTCTATTTAGTCCGTCAGTTTGATGATCAAAAAATAATGGACACGTATTTTTTCTTATGGCAATCAGCCAAAAAACGGCAAAGTTATAGCGCGCTGACTAACCACTCGGGCCCAGAGCGGATTGGTGGGTACCAACGAATGCAAAGGCAGTCGGTAACAACGGCTTAACATGCCTTCCGAAGCACGGAGGTGCTCGAGATAATAAGTTTTGGTCACCCATCCAATGACCGACCATTGTGAAAGATGCTTAACTACTATGACCACAGGCCGAAGAATTCACTCAAATAAACTCCAGCTAGAGCAAATTTTCATATTATAGGGCAGTTCAACTACGTTTCTGATTGTGGCGCGAACAACTAAATAAGCATGTTCTTAAGCTCGAAAACTCTGCATAAAGTACAAACGGTGAAAATAAAAGTTTATTATGTACATTCGTTCTTTATTGTTTTCCTAAGAATGTTCCAGCTATTTATTTTAGGATCATACTTGATGTTGTTTTAATTATTTACTGTCACGGTGACAATAATAGCTAAACAGACGGATTGAAAACTACGATCAAATTACACTATTAAGTAGCACCAAGGTGGGATGGGTGGGAGAGCCTATTGCAAACATCTATACCTCAAACCTCAAAGTTTAGAGATTGTTTCGCATAAGATAGAATTCTTGTTTACCTCATTACATAGATAAATAAGAATTCGTTGAACTCGTCTCCCTACTAATCCCATCTCATCATCTAAGGAAGTAATGAAATTTTAAAGTTTTCAAATTAAATTTGAAAATAAGGAAGCTTTTAAGGAAGTACATTACCTCTTCATTATCAGTTTGTTTATCTCTCAAGAAAATTTGTCTTACAAACACGTGATTGAATTGAAATTTATATCAAATACAATTCCTTAGTAAAGCTATAACTGTAAAGAAAATTTTACGAGTAAAATCTACGCTGTCCAATTATGATACAAAGAACTTAATGGCCTTGTCGATATCCATCTAGAAATCTTAGTCTACGAGGATGTCTTCAGAGCTGTAAAAAATCTAACTTCTAAGCCACCGTAATCAAAATTGTCATTAGTGTGACGTCACAAAAAACGTGCAAGATTTTCAAAAACCTTAATTGCGCGAGACTTTTAATTATTAAACAATTATTTGGTTTTATTGCAGGTAATCAATGCAGTTATATCTTTGGTTCTTATCCATGCAGTAAGGAAGGAAGAAGACGAAGCGATAGCCTACAAGTAGATTTAATCAGAAAACCCCTTACTTTAAGTATATAAGGTCTTTGATATTTTGAGATTTATAAACTTACTTTTTTTATATTTAGTGATGAATTTTATATTAAGCACATTTCAAAAACTTGTGTTAACAAATAAATTTGTATTATTTGTTACACTTTAACTATATGACACTTTATTACATATATTTCCACCGTTTTGTTATTTAAGTTAAAATAATTAAGTAAATAAAATATAAAAAAACCAATGCTTGCGTTACCTAATTTACCTATGTTAAAAAATATAGCTACTGATTGTCCATGATCCCGCGGCTCGAATCTGCATCCTATTTTGTTTTTTTGATAAAACTCAATTTAATTGAATGATTATAGTAGTAAGTATACAAGGCATTAGTGACGGGTTGTCTAAAAAAAGTCGCAAATACTTTTCATTAATTTAAGGGACATTCATTTAGGTACATATATATATGCTACTAGCGGACCCTCGCTTTGCTTCGGTATAGAGCTGAAGTGTAGACTACAGTTTATGTTCTCAGGCTTGTATTATACACAATGACTCAATTCATCTATGATTCTTCTTATACCTGCATGCAAAGTCTCAGCCCGATCGGTTTAAAATTGACAAAGTTTCATACAAACTTTTATTCCCTATTTTATCCCATTGGGGGTAGAATTGATCAAAATCCTTTCTTAGCGGATGCCTATAACACCTACCTGCATGCCAAATTTCAGCCCGATCCGTCCAGTGGTTTGGACTGTGCGTTGACAGATCACTATGTCAGTCAGTCAGTCACCTTTGAGTTTAATATATATAGGTAGATGTAAATGTAAATTACATCCATGTTTTTAATTTGTTAATTTTACGTAATTTGACAGGAAATTAAATTTAATTCCATAAACAATGAATGGCAGGTGCACAGGTTAATAAAGTCGGGCTAGGTTCCGCAAAGAAAAAGAAGGACCCAGACATAATATAATCTTTCCTACAACAATTTCTTGGTATGCCAAGAAATCGTTGAAAGGTTCTGGAGTAACAATCTCGGAGTTTCTTACAAAGACTCGACATAAAGCGTTTATGGCAGCCCGTGCAACTTTTGGTATTAGCAAGTGTTTTACTCAAAATGGGACAGTAATTGTTATTGGTGCTGATGGCAAGCGAGCTCGCATTACTTCTACGGCCGAAGTAGGAAAAGATCCTGTACCGAATGTGCACTCTGTTGAACCAGAAAAAATCCTGTGCCTGATGTGCAGAATACTGGTACTTCTAAGGAACCCACGGTGGCGACAAGAGGTAAACGGGCAGCCGCAGTATCCAAGAAGTAGCAATGTTAGTACTTAAGGAAGTGGAATCTAAACGCATGTCGTCATTTCTGATTATTGTTTTACTTCACAACTTTTTCTCCAGGCATTTCTTTTTACTTGTCGTCTTTGTGTTAAATTTTGATCTTGTTTACCTACATTTAATTACTGTTATAACACAATTTATTACAGCTAAGTAGGTAAGCGTAAATAAGATGACATTAACATTTGTTTTTTTTTCTTATGTATTGTCATCTATTGTTTAAGGCAAAGCATTTAGAGGTCATACAGCCATAATATGTTTTCTTTTTTTTTATTAGTTATCTTATAATCTTTTTTGATTGTGATGTTGTGATGTGTACTGTTTTTCAACCTTCGTATTTCGTTTCGTATTTCAACCGGCAGGTGGAGTTTGTAACTTATGAGTTTTTAGTTCAAAGTCTTTTGTTATATATATATTTTCTTTTTTTGTTCATAGATATTTATATATATATTGAGTATATATACATTTTATCAATATTTTTATTATGTCAAATGTAAACAATATAGAGTACGGATGATATAAAATTATTAATGCACAAAAAAGCTTCTGCTAAAAGTAGATATAAATGTCGGCCAAGTGATCATAACAAAGAAACTTATATCAAAATTCGTAATCGCTGCAATAAGGTGTGTAGGGATGCATTACGTCGTCACATTCACAATTCTGTCAGTATTGAAGACTCTCCAAAAGTCTGGAAATTTCTAATATCGCTCGGTATTGGAAAATCTAGGGAGGACTCTGGTGCTCCTAATATTAACTTAGATTCTCTAAATACTCATTTCACTTCTTCTACTGGTATTAATACTGCTGTTAAAATTAACACTCTTAGTCAACTTTCAACCAAACCAATACCTGACTTCTCTCCCTTTGTTTTTGTTCAATTAACGGATTGTGATGTTAAGACGAGCTTTCTTTCTGCTACTTCTAATGGTATAGGTAGCGACGGCATAAGTCGTTATATGTTAGTGCCAATTCTTGACATTGTCCTTCCTGTCATAACATTCCTTTTTAACAGTATTATTTCCAATGCTTCATTTCCTTCTACTTGGAAAGATGCCCAGATTCTTCCGTTGCCTAAAGTACGTAACCCGAAAGTCCTCTCCGAATATCGTCCTATATCCATTCTTCCCTTTTTATCCAAAGTGCTTGAACGTCTCCTTCACAAACAAATTAATAATTTCCTTACACGCCATAATCTCCTAAATCCTCTTCAATCGGGTTTTCGTCCTGGCCATAGCACTGTCACTACCTTGGTCAAGGTTACTGATGACATCCGACTTGGCATGGAAAACAGTCGCCTAACTGTGCTAACATTATTGGACTTTAGTAACGCTTTTAACACTGTCGATTTTGATGTTCTTATAGCCGTATTACGCTCTCTTAACATATCTCCAACGGTAATTGACTGGTTTCACAGTTATCTGTATGGACGTAGGCAGCGTGTTCGCCTTGATGACAAATTCTCGTCATGGTGCGAGACGTCTGCTGGCGTTCCACAAGGCGGCGTATTATCTCCTCTTCTTTTCGCAATATTTATTAATTCAATTTCTCTTAACTTATCTTCTTCCTACCACCTTTATGCAGACGATTTACAGATATATTTCCAGGCTCCACTTGAAAAAATTGAGGAAGCAGTTTTTAAGACTAATGTTGATCTGTGTCGAATTGTGGAATGGAGTAAAGCTTTTGGCCTTAATGTTAATCCTATCAAAACTCAGGTCATGATAGTCGGTAGCTCTAGACTATTATCTCAAATTAACTGGACTACTCTTCCCAAAGTTAATTTCCAAGGAACTGTCATACCTTATAGTTCAACGGTAAAAAATCTCGGAGTGATAATGGATAGTTCATTGAGCTGTGAGCCACAGCTGCAAGCTGTAAGTCGAAAACTGTATGCGTCTGCTGGTTCGTTAAGAAGACTACGTAACTTTTTACCCACTGCCACTAAAATTATGCTATCTCAATCTCTATTGCTTCCAGTCCTTGACTATGCTGACGCCTGCTATCTAGATCTTACGAAGGACAAGCTAAATAAACTTGAGCGTCTTCAAAACTTCTGCATCAGGTTCATATTTGGTTTAAGAAAATATGATCATGTTTCCCAGTTTCGTTCTCAACTCAAGTGGCTTCCAATTTGTTGTCGCCGGGATACTCATATACTTTCCCTTCTTTACAATGTGTTGTTTAATCCCTCTTACCCCAATTATCTTAAAGAGCTTTTCAGTTTTCTCCACTGTTCCCACTCTCAGTCTTTACCCTCATCAGAGAATTTGAGCCTTAAAACTCCATCACATAATACCACCTTTTATAAATATTCTTTTTTTGTTCAAGCTGTGCGCCTCTGGAATTCTCTCCCCGTTAACATCAGACGTGCCCAGACGATTGGTTTATTTAAGAAGCAGATTAAAGATTTTTTCCTTTCACAGTAGTTGTTTGTGTTGTTCCAACTGTATGTATGTATGTATGTGTATGTCTCTCTACTCATTCATTTAATATTTGTATACTTGCATAGTAGATATTTGAGTATGTTTAATCGTGAATATTTTATTGTAATTATTTTTATTTGTTATATTAGCACACGCGCTCTTTTATTAAATTTCATGTCTCCATCCTATGGTTGTCTGGCAGAAATTGCTATATAGCGATAAGACCGCCTATTGTTCACTATTTTAAGTTTTGTCCTTGTGTGTAATATTTAATATGGTGTGCACAATAAAGTGTTATCTATCTATCTAACAATAAAAAAAAAAGATAACTATAAAGTACCCGCAATGGATTTAGAAATCCAAAGTGAGTAGTTAAGCATTGGTGAGTTCTGCATTCCATTAGCTCTGAAGTGGCGCACTTTACTACATGATTGGTCTCCTGCTCTACTACAATTCTATCTCAATGCCTTCCAAATGACCCTACTAGACCAGAGTAACCTAGTAAGATGGGAGAAAGCCTCTGAAAAATCGTGCTATACTTGTGGTGAAGCAAAAGTTACTGCTAGGTACATATTAATAGGTTGCAAGGTACTCTTTGATAGAGGTCAATACTCACGTCGCCATGATAGAGTATTTGAAGTCATACGTGAAGCAGCAAGCCTTGTAGTGGCTAGAGCCCAAAGGATGAACCCCAAATAAATAACAAATTAACTTTATAAAAGAAGGCTCAACTGTTAACTCCAAAAGCAAGGCTTTCTCAATCCTAGGTACTGCACCTGACTGGACTATTTTAATGGATACGTATGAAAAACACTATAAAGTACCAGAGGATATTGGTGATTCGTAATCCAGGCCGGACTTATTCCTCAAATCAAACATATAGTACTAATAGAGCTTACTGTACCATGGAAAACAAACATTCCAAAAAACCACACAATAAAATTGAATAAATATTACGATCTACCAATGAACTAACTAAAAATGGCTATCTAGTTAATTTTATGCGGTAGAAGCAGGAGCGACAGTTATACCAGCAAAAATTTCTATATAACCTTCTAAAAGACCTAAGCCTGTCGAGGAATGAGATACGAAGGCACTGACAGGCTTGGAAGGGCGGGCAACTCGAGCAGTGAAGATGAGCGTTGATGCGTATTTAAAAGGGGACCTCATTAAACCTACACCTGGGTCGCAACTCCCGGGAAATGCTCAAAGTTTCTCTCTCTCCAACACGATGGACCCGGTACCCGCACCGTGAATTCATGGATTGCTAAGGAGATCGTCTCAAGAATTCAAAACAATGGTTGCCATCCCTTAAATAATCAACATTAATGTAGCCATTTCTTTCTTAAGTTTTCACACACATCACTTGCTAAATAAATATTTTTTTCCAACGGGTTTTTAATGCCTTTTCAATACTTAAATTAATAAA